GTACAGTCTCTACTGCAGTTACTCAGCTCTGCCATTGTTGCTCTAAGCAGTCTTAAATGGTGTGTAAATGAATGGACATAGCTGTGTTGTAATAAATCTTTATTTAGAAAAACTGGAAGTGGGCCAAAGTTGTCCCTGGGACTAGTTTAGTTTACCCATCCTTGCTCTTGGCCACTGTTTTATTTCTCATCTTAAGTCACTTTTTTAACCCCTTCCCCAACAATTTTTTTGTTAAAAACGTTTCTTTTTCAGACTAATTTTTTTATTTTGGTTCTATATAGTATTTTTGATGCTGGTTATGAAAACAGTTTGTAACTCGTCTTCCTATAAACCATATTTTTTTACCATATTTTCTTAGTATATTCATCGACGACTGAAAAAGAACATTTTGTGAAAACGAGTATACACGTTTCTGCCGGGGAAGGGGTTAAAAAGTAACAGATTTTAAAAAGATTTGTTCATTTTTATTGATATTTTATATCATGGAATTCACCTGTTTAATTGTGCAATCATTACCACTGATTGTGGGACATTTTTATCACTGTGAAAAAGAAACCCATACTCATTAGTAGTCACTTTTCATTCTTTCCTCTCTCCAGCCCATGACAACCACTGATCTACTTTCTGTGTGAATCGATTTGCATATTGTGGGAATTTCATATAGACAAAATCAGACACTCTGTGACCTTCTGTGACTGGCTTTTATTGCACATAATGTGTTTCAGGTTCATCCCTGCAGTAGCATGTGCTTCTTGGGTATAGACCCAGAGTGGAAATAATTTTTATTTGAGGAACCACCAGGCTTTCTTCCACAGCAGCTATCCTATTTTACATTCCCACCTGCAGTGCATGAGGCTTCCAGTGTTTCCACATCCTCACTAACACTTGTTATTGTTCATCTTCTTTGTTATAGTTGAGTCATTTTTCTGCTAGGTATGCATCCTTTCCCTTAGGTGGTTAGTGGCAATGTCAGGAGTGGGAAGGTGTTTGTTCCTGGCCTGCCCCTGCAGGACAGGTGCCCAGTGGCCCTTGGTAGTCACCTTTCCCACTCCTGAGGTTTCAGTGGCACATGAGACCAGTTCCAGAGTAGGAATTCGAGGTTCACCAGCTGCCCTACAAATGCTGGATCATTCATTAATTGCCCAGATCAGCAGTTCTCAACCTGTGGGTCGCGATCCCTTTGGGGGTCAAACGACCCTTTCACAGGCGTCGCCTAAGACTATCTGAAAACATATATAATTACATATTGTTTTGTGATTAATCACTATGCTTTAATTATGTTCAATTTGTAACAATGAAATTGGGGGTCACCACAACATGAGGAACTGTATTAAAGAGAACTGTATTAAAGGTTGAGAACCAGTGGTCCAGATCAAGGCCCCACCTTTGCAGTAAGCATGTGGTTCACTACCTTCCTCATTGTTCACTGTGAGGGTGTCACACTTTCTAGTTGGTTAACCTTCCCCAGAAATCCTTGGATCAGAACCTCAGTTATCTCTTCTTTCTTTTCCCTGAGCCTTTGTCCTCTTTACTAGCCACAGTGTCCTTTGTCAAGAGGAACTTGACCTTTGTAACCTTTGAGGACAACAGTTTCAGAAAGGACACATCTTATCTAGACTGGTTGGTGTTTGTCAAAAAGACTCTGCTTATGGCTCAAGAAGCATTGTTAGGTGCCTTCTGTATACCATGCACTGTGCCAGGCCCTTTACAAGTGCAGTCATTTACTCTCAATGGATAATGCTTGTTGCATAGACAAGGAGGCTGAGGCCCAGATCTTAAGTAACTTGCTCAAGGTCCCACAGCTCATGGGTGGCAGAGCATGGGTTGGAACTCAGGATGTCTGATTTTGTTGCTTGAGCTCTTGTCTCCCCAGGGCACATCGCCTGTTTCCTGCTGCAGTGTGTTTCCTGTGTGTGGGTGTCCCCCAGGGCACATCGCCTGTTTCCTGCTGCAGTGTGTTTCCTGGGTGGGCTCTGCACAGGGCTGGGGCCATCCTTTTGGCCCAAGGGCATCTTGAGTGACTGTTTTGAGCTAATGTTTTTCACAGTATTTTTCAGCCCCCACACACCTCATACATGGCAAAATTAGACTAGCTCAGGGTCACCAGTGATGTCCCCGTCTTTTCCCCTCCCCCTTTCCTTATGCTGCATGTTCTTCTCAGACCACCTTCCAGCGTTTCTTCCTATTTCTGCTTTCAAAAGACCTGGTCCCTCTGGATATTCCCTTTTAGACATTCTCTCAGGGAGCGCTCCCTGACCACGAAGGAAAAATCTGCTCCTCCCTTCTGACACTACTGGGTGTGGGGCATTTTTCACTCTGCATTGTCCAGTCCAGCACTTGCAGAGCAGAACAGGGCTGACCTCATTCTTCTGGCCTCTCTGTGTTTGACACTGGACTTTGGGCCCAGTGGGCATTCATTAGAGATTTAAGTTGAATTGCTTAATGTTTTTCTGTGGTCCCCAGACCAGGACAGGGGAGGTACAGCCTCCGGAGATTGGACCCTGGGTTATATTTCTCAATATTAACACTTGGCTGTGAGGCTGCAAGGTCATGGGCTTAGTCCAGCCGTGGGCAAACTATGGCCCGCGGGCCGGATCCAGCCTGTTTGAAATGAATAAAACTAAAAAAAAAAAAGACCGTACCCTTTTATGTAATGATGTTTACTTTGAATTTATATTAGTTCACACAAACACTCCATCCATGCTTTTGTTCCGGCCCTCCGGTCCAGTTTAAGAACCCATTGTGGCCCCTTGAGTCAAAAAGTTTGCCCACCCCTGGCTTAGTCTGTCCCACATAGTACGTGCTAATAGCTACTTTTGGAATGGAAAAAGCAAAACTTTAGGCAGAAGTTTTTTTGACACCCCCTGTCCCCTACCTTACCAGCCCCACATATTCCTGCTCCATGCATCAGTCTGAGATGTGCCACACATTCCTCTGTCCTCCCATTTGAACGTGGTGGGCATGCAGCAGAGGCTGGGTGGGGCAGCAAATCAGAACTATATGAAAACAAATTTCCTATTGCCATTTTTCATGTTAAGAGACCCCAGCAGGCCTACCCCAGCCTCAGTCTTGTCCTCAGAAGGTCTTCTTGGATAGTACTTGCTCGCTGGGGCCCTTTCACCATTTGATCTTACCAACAACCCTGTGCATTGGTATTTTTATTCCTATTTTACAGTGAGAAAAGTGGTGCTCAGAGATGACCTGGGTAGGTCAGTACACTTTAGTGATGCTTGAATGGACATGTGCCAAGAAAGCTTTTGTATTGAATTTCTGGTCATGCTTTGACAGTCTGCTGCGATAATAGGGAAATCCATTCTTCTCCCAATTAAGTGGATTGCAGAGTCAGCATGCTTGGCTCTGCCACCAGAAGAGGGGGGGAGGTTTTGGGCTGGCTTTGCTTTAGGCATCCCATTTTGACTCGTGGGCAGGAGGTTCTCATAGTCAGAACCATTAAACAGAGGAATGGGCTATATTGGGAGTTGGTGAGCTGCTCCTCACTGGGTGAGCAGGAAAGGTGTAGGTCCCTGCAGCAGGGAGTGGTGTCCTTGGGTTGGACTCTTGCAGCCAACATGCTTCACTGGCATGGGTTTTACCATCTACCTTCTTACCTAATGCCGGAATACTGGGGAGACAGGTTATATTGGTCAAAATGCTTTGAGGTTTAAGAAATCACATACCTTTACCTTTTGTTTGCTCAAAATCATTTATTGAGCACCTACAATGTGTGTCAGGCCCTGCCAAGGTACCGCAGAGATAACTGGGACAGTCCTGTCCTCCTGAATTCCCAGTAATGACAGTACTCAGACAGCTGAGCACACTCTGTATAGTGGGAGGGCCATGCGCCGGCACTGAGAGCATGGCTCTCTTGCCCGCTAGGCTGGGGTCTGGTTTTGAGGGGAGGAGGATACAGGATCCTTGCAGCTGCCTCCCTCCCTTGGTTTTTGCCCTGTCCTCTTCCCTTTTGCACCCTATATGTTACTCATTGTCCACTCAGGAAAGAACTGGGTGAGTTGTCACAGCAGCTGGGTATTCTGGGTCCTCCCTTGGAGCTCCAAGCTTGTGTCCATTGTGCATGGGGTTTTTCTTCCCTTCTTCTGATCAGTTGCTAAGTTGATGGAAAGACATCTAAGGAATGGTAAGGAATGGTTTCCCTTCATAATAAGTGCCCTGAAAAGTAACGACAGTGACAATTTTGTGGAACTTTTGATAAGCACTGTTTAATTTGACCTCTGAAACCTCACAGGAGGTGTGGGTACAGGATCCCAGTCCTCTCTCACTCTAAACACCATGCCCTGTGTGCTGGAAAACACCTTTCTGGGCTCCAGGTGCTCTGCTTTGGAGGCTGGACAAGCAGGGAATATAGATGATGGGGGTGGAGTGGATGTGGGATAATAGGGTATGGTGGGGAAGGTGGCACACCTGTGATCATGTCCCTCTAGAGAGGCTGAGCCAGCTAGCTACTGCTCACAGGAAGGAATAGAGCCCAGGAACTTGGACCTTTAGACTTTTCAAGAGCAAGGCCAGATGCACATGGCTTCCCATCAGCCCCACCCTGGAGGCCAGGGGTCTCAGTGTCAAGGTGAAGAGACAAGAATCCCCCAGCCATTTGAAGCCAGCCAGCAGGTGGGGGATCTGCCTCTCCTCTGAAGTTTCTTTCCCTGTGTAGGGAGGTGGTAGGAAGAATGGATGAATCAGGTCTCGAGAACTGCTGCCTAAACTGTAAAGTGCTTATAGGCGCTAGGGGTGATGGTGTTACGCACTACACTAAACCTGCTGTGAGCAAAGGGGGAGGTACAGCGGGAAGCACACAGCATTCATCTGAGACAGGTCTGGATTCACATCCCAGCTTGGCCCCTCACAGCCTCGGGACCCTGATCCTTTAAGCCTCAATTTCCCAACTGCCCTCACTCCTTTGCAGGGGCCTGAGGACTTTCCCTTCCCTTGGCCCCAGGGAGTTAACTCCAGCATGTTTACCACCCTTCCCCCATCTGCTCTTATAGGGAACACATTCAGCACCCTGGCTGGACTGGTCTTTGACTGGACAATCATGAAGGACACGGAGGCCAGCCGCTTCTCTGACTCCCACAGTGCACTACGGTGAGAACTACCTCTCCTGTGAAGGGAAATGGGAAGGGGTGTCACTTGGCTCTGAACTGGCTGGGGGCTTTCATCATGATCATTGCTGCTGTCAGTGAGGGGCGATTGCCAGTATGCCAGCCAACATTCCTCGGGACTGATTTAGGAAAAAGTGTTTGGCCCACACAGTTGTGCGGGAATTTTGATGCTTTTGCAGTCCATTGGGTGTGTTCTGTGAGCAGCTGTCAAGGAGGCTTGAGTGTCCAACTATAGAAGAGAAAACTTGTCCCTGGTAATGGGGTACAGGGAAGGGTTCTGTGTGTCCCCAGAGGGCAGTCTCCTATTAGGGGACGGTTAATGGGGAGACAGGTTCCAGCTAAGAGGACATTCTCGGATGCAAGAGGCTGTGTTCCCAGCACCGGAGTACAGATGGATTCCTCACCTATCTTGACTCAGTAACTCCTCCCAATAGCTATGTGGGCTTACGTACCACTATTTTCTCCACTTTTCAGACAGAAACTAAGAGTTTGAAACCTTTTGTCTCATATTAGTAAATGGCGTAGATAGACTTTAAACCAGATCTGTATAAATCTTCACTATGAATATGGTAGCCACCACCTTATCCTGGCTGTTTGCATTTACGTTAGGTAGAATGAGGAGCCCAGGTCTTTAGGTACACTAGCTGCATCTGTGGTGCATATCACTGTGCAGTCAGTGGCTACCACCTGTGGACAGGATGGGTGTGCATCCATACACCGCAGGTTCTGTGGGCCAGTCGGACAAAGAGCCAGGCCTGGGCTTTACCTCGGTGATACTACATTGTCTCATGCTTTATCAAGTATGTTTTAAAAGAGTGTAGTCCCTCTGTGGGCAGAAATGCTTAATTTTTAAAAATGTTGCAGCCATTTTCAGTCTATGGAAAAGTTGCAAGTACAGAACAAAAGGTGGTTTCCCTAAACCAGCGATTTTCAAGTGGCGTGCCGCAAGAATTTTTAAAACATGCAGTAGCTGAATGGTTAGTCAGGGGCACATTCCCTTAGATCAGGGGTCCTCAAACTACGGCCCACGGGCCACATGCAAATACAAATATTGTATTTGTTCCCGTTTTGTTTTTTTACTTCAAAATAAGGTATGTGCAGTGTGCATAGGAATTTGTTTGTAGTTTTTTTTTTTAAACTATAGTCCGGCCCTCCAACGGTCTGAGGGACAGTGAACTGGCCCCCTCTTTAAAAAGTTTGAGGACCCCTGCCTTAGATCATCAAGTGAAAAAATGACAACAGCCAACCCAACAAAGCCATCTGGTGTGAATGAATCAAAATTATAACTCTTTTTTGTCAAATTGGCAAAAATTATAACATGGCTTTTGATGTGTCACAGAATTTTAGTAATTCGTTTATGTGCCACGAGATGACAAGGATGAAAATTGCTGCCCTAGAAGAGCAGGTTTGCCAGCCTGTTGCCCCATCACCCTGAGGCCTTTAATGTGCATTTGTTGCCACAAAGGGCACTTCCTGTGTCTCCACAGCATACTCACCAAAATCTATAATCATAAAAGCATAATATGCTAATTACACCAGATGCCCTTCTGGACATCCTTCTGGACAACCTTCCGAACGAAGCCAGAGCTGCAAGGGAAGCCCGGGTCTCAGGTGCCTGCTGGCAGCTGGAGTGAAGCCCGGGTCCTGGGTGCTTGCCAACGGCCAGAGGGAATCTGGTGCTGGCAGCCTGGGAGAGGAAGGCCTACTCTTGCATGAATTTTGTGCATCGGGCCTCTAGTTAGGAAATAAACACTGATGCATACAAGACTTCATTCAAATTGACCAATTATTCCAATTCCATCCTTTGTGGCAAAAACCCAGCCCAGAGTCCCTCCATGTTGTCCTGTCACTTAGTCACTATCAGCCTGGAACTGTTTCATGGATCTCAGCATGTGTGAAGACTGCAGTCCAGTTATGTTGTAGGAGGTCTCTCATTTGGGGTTTGTTTAATGTTCACTCCCAATTAGACTCAGAGCTTTGCATCTTTGGCAGGAATATAAAAAAGATGAGATTCTGTATTCTTCTAATTGCATCGTGTTACGATTTTGCTGGTCCAGCACTGATGTTGATGTTGGTCCATTACTGTCATCACTTGGGTTAGGTGTCTGCCAAAGACCCCAATTTGAGGTCACTTTCTTACCCCCTTGCAATTTGTAAGTATTTTGTGGGGAGCTAAGAGTCTGGTATTTATCCCTTTAAAGGTCTAAGCTTAGGGCTGTAGGACACACCCAGGCTTGGCTCAAGCATCTCCTGGCAGACACCCTCATGTCCTCACCCTGCTCCCCTAGGCACCTTCCTGGGCCAGAGCTCTTCCCGGGACTGGGACCATCAGTGTGTTACCTGGAAGAGCTCTGGAACTGCTGGTATCTCATAAAGCCTGGGACATGGGCTTGGCAGTCAAAGGTCTGGATTCCAGTCCCGACCTGGTCACTTCCTGCCTGGAGTCTTAGTGAAGGAATGTGACCCTCTGAGTATCAGCTTCCCTCTGAGGGTGGCCCTGTGGGTCAGCACATGGACTGTGTTCAGAGCCCCTGCTGGGACTGTGCACACTAGATGTTCAGGGAATGCTGGTTCACAGGCCCTTATTGTGCAGACTGCCAGGCTTCATGCAAACAAAGATCTGGACCAGGGTCCATGAATGTGCAATTTTCATAAGGATGTTGGCAAGTCTGATATAGGAAGTTTCAGGGACACATTTCTAAGCAGCACCAACTAGGGCAACACCTCTCATTTTAGCACGTGGTACCTACCAGGAGTCCTTTCTGTGTCACTGGACTGTTCTCTGCCACAACAGGCCCCTGAGCTCCCAGTCACCCCATATCTGAGTCCAAAGCTAACTGAAATCCCAGGTACTAAGGCGTATTGGAACTAGTGTATTGGGTTTTCATTAAACTCAGCATATGACACCTAGTAAGATAGGACAAGGAGATAGATCATGGTGCAGTATAGCACCCAGCAGACTCGGGGAGAAGGAAAGCATCTCCAGTGGATGGCTCTTGTTCAGGCAGAAAGGTGGGCTTATTTATAAATCACAGACTGTAGGTAACAGACTGTTTCAAAAGGGTCCCTTAAGCCAGCCATACTTGCCAAACAACACTCTGGGGAGACCCCACACATCTCAACTTCTCTCCCCACCTGGGCGTTCCCCCACAGCCCGACCCTAAAAAGGATAAGATGTGATATGATTCCCTAGTCCTGATGCATTGGGTCATTGAGACTCATTTCCTTGTGGCAGGAGGTAGCCCACGGATGGACCAGAACATGGCAAGTGGCCCTGGGGAGCCTGATGGGCATTTTTGACATCACCCTGGCTGAGTCTGTTGTCTGGGGCCTGCTTCTTAGTCTCCATGGGCCTCATCTTTCACATCTGTGAGAGTGAAGCATTTCTACTAAGTGGGTGATTCTAAAATTTCAGTGTTTATCATAATCACATGTAGATTTTGATAAAATGCAGACTGCCAGGCTTCATGCAAACAAAGAGCTGGGCCAGGGCCCATGAATGTGCAATTTTCATAAGGATGTTGGCAAGTCTGATAAGGAAGTTTCATGGACACATTTCTAAGCAGCACCAACTAGGGCAACACCTCTCATTTTAGCACCTGGTACCTACAGGAGTCCTGATAGACAGTGGATGTGTGAGGTTCTTTGGTTCCACACATCAGGTCTGATGACATGTGCTTTTTCAGAATCCTCCCATTCCTGGAGTCTACCTACACACCTCCTTCCTATATATTAGAAATGGAGAAGGCGGCCAAGCAAGGGGACACCGTCCTGGTGTCCGGGATGAAGACCGGGAGTGCCAAGCTCAAGGCTCGCATCCAGGAGGCCGTGTATCAGGTGGGCCTGCGCGCGGGAGGTGCTGGGCTTCCTGGGGAGGGGGCAGGATGCCTGTTCACCCCATATGCACATTTCCTCATGGAAGTGAAATGCACTGCCGTGAAAGTTTCACTGTCATGAAAGGGGAACTTCAAGGTGTGATTCCATGTTTTTGTTAGTTTGGTTTGGGTTTGGGGGCCACAGCTTAGTGAGAGGTAGTTGAGGCACCAGAGTGCACCATCTGGAGTCACAAACATTTGTTCCATTCTCAGTTTTGCAGGAGGTTCAGGAGCACTGGGATTTTCACTAATTAGCTTACTTTCAACAACTACCCCCTGTGCCAATATAGGGACACATCCAAGCATTGGGCACTCTGCGAACAATCCTGAGTTGCCCTCCATGCTGTCTCTTCCTGTGCCCCACAGAAGCCCTGAGACTGGCGGTTCCATTTGTGAAGGACTAGTGCTCCTAACCCTCCCTCCACCCCCAGTGTTGCCCTGGCCTCACCAGCACCTACTTTTCCATCAGTGCCTCATTTCAAGAGGGGTATGATAGGAAAAGGGTGGGTTTTGTCACAGTCCTGGCTCTTTCCAGATTCTTGTGAGAAGATGTCTGCCCTGCCTGCAAACTGCAAACCGGAGTTCTTCCTTTTGTTGGCCTGGTTCCTGGGTCACAGGCAGACAGGCAGTGGTATTTCATCTGCCTTTTAATCTGCAAAGTGACAGATGACAGAAACCTCCCCATATTCAGACTCTTTGGCAGATTAGCCAGTAGTTTGGGAGTCCTGGAGGGTTTTGGAAACATGGAGGTGCCATGGCACAGGGCTGACCCTACAGGACTCTGCTCTTTGGAAACAGTTTGCCTCTTAGGATCCTGGGCCCTTGTGTGGTGTGCAGGGCTTAGATGGACAGGCCCTTTGTCCTGCCTGTGTTGGTAAAGGGCTTCCCTGCCTGCCTTTCTGGGAGGCACTCACCACAAAGCCTGACCCAAAGGAGGGGCTCTGTATGTTCTTTGATTTTTCAATAAGTCAAGGATATTATTTTTTATTTTTTAAATATATTTTTATTGATTTCAGAAAGGAAGGAAGAGAGAGAGAGAGAGATAGAAATATCCATGATGAGAGAGAATCATGGATTA